ATAGGGAAATGTTGACCTAAGAGAAAATGTGTATAAACTGGACAAGATCCTTGTGTCGATCAGGGAGTATGTGAAGAACTCAGAAACAGGAGCAGAAAGTTTTTGGAATTGCTTGTCATAGGAGGAGATGGGCTGTATCACTTCACTAGTTTTCAGGTGGAGCTTCATCCCTTTATGAGGGAAATTTTATCCTGTGGTTGGCTGCCAAAAGCAGTGATTGGGCTTGACCTGAATGTCCCTTTGGAACCATTTTCTTTATATGTACCCTATATTGTTCCTCAAGATTACATGGCTATAATGGTTATCATTCTGCCTTAAATTAACCATATGAGTTTGATGGCTCAGAACTTAGAGAAAAGATTATTTGCTACAAGCCAGTTCATAATTAATTCCAGCCCTAGTATAGTGTTCAATAGATTTAGGATTTATTATTTCCAGCATGTATAAACAGTTTAATTAATAAATATGTTCAGTTCACTGGCTGCCAAGACCATGAGGGCTGTAATCCTCCCATCAATACCACTGGCATGGGGTGTGCTGCCAGCCATGTGCTGGGCACATCAACCTGTGGTGCTCTGCACCCGTGTTCAGAATCCAGTGCTAATGCTCCTCAGCAAGCACTGACAAAAGCCAGAGAGCAGAGGTTTTTATCTGAAATTATGTTATAAATCTCATTTTAGCTGATGTAGAGCTGGACTGTGCACAGCCTGCATACATGCTGTTCCATATCCGTGTGTTTCTTGTCTGTTCTCAAACAGCTGTTCTCACCCTGTACTCACTGGCCTGCCAGATGTTAAAAATCCAGGGAAAATATGGAGTCACATTCTCCCTCTGTAGGACTTATTCATGACCAGCTTGAGACCTGCTGTTTGGTCTAACACTTAACCTGGATTTTCTAGTAACTCATCAACTATGATGACAAAACATGAAGCTAAGAACTCATTGTTGCCAGCAGGACTGATGCTAGAGAAGTGATCTGATGCCCTAATCTCGAGTGAAGTTGCCTCAAGACTACATCTATAATAATTACTGGTGCATATATGATCACTAGTGACATCACTAGGGCTAGATTCTTAAAAATGCCTAGGGAAGAGACTCTTTGGAACATTCTTAGTTCTTCTGACTCTCATAAAAGACTAATTTCCTTAATTAAATGTAGCACTTCACATTCTTCAGCACATACATTCAATTTTCTTTATGTATTTTTAGAAACGGGTCTACAAGAGATAAACACACTGAAAGTTTATCTTCTTTTTTAAGTGTGTTTAACCCCTCCCCTTGCTTCTCAGTCACTGGAAATCTCCTAAGTACTTAGCTGGTCTCCAGATTATCTACAGCAATGTGGAGAAGTGCCAGTCTGGGAGACACTGAGGACAGTTGGTTCACGTGTTTTTGGTGATGTAATGTCCAATCTTAGTTGTTCTGTGCTGCTGTTTAGTGTGAATTCATGACTGCAGGAGTGATTAGAAGGCTTGAGAGCAGAATTATTTCACTGGCAGTCAGCATGACTCCAACTAAGTAAGTCACAGGAATAATTAAAGATCCATTAATTTTATGATAATCACTAGACTAGGTTTGTTAAGAGAGTCTTTTTCATGGATGGGATGAGATCAGTTGATGGTGCTATATAGCAGTGTTAGAGTGACACAGAAAATCTGTTTGCTGAGACTCTCTATCTGACTTAAACTGATATCATGGGACACATTCTTCACTCTTTGATACTTATTGTATTAAAAACTCATTCCTTTGACAGGGAAACTGATTTGTCAAAGGATCTTGTACATTTTTCCAGGAGCCCACATTAGCCCCTTGAAACTGGGGACGTCCTTGCAGGGTTGAGAGAAACAGCAATTCTTGGGTCATTGCCATGTTCCCATCGTAATGGTGTGTTTTAATTAAACAAACGAGGCAGCACACTCGCTTCAGGAACACAGGAAGCGTCAGAGTTTCTCATGTGGAAAACAAGTTTCACTTGAAAGCTTTCAGGAAATATTGCTGGTAATATGGGCCAGGCCAGACAGTGCTGACAAACCTTCATATCAAAACCTCCTGGCCACGCATTGCAAACTCTCATAGCACCATCACAACTTCATCTGGTATTTTCAGAGTCTCAACCTGGAGTCACATTATTATGAAAAAATTGTTTAAGACCATTTTAGAGTTTTTGTTAAAGAAAAACGTTTGAAAACACAATACATTCTATCTCAAAAGTAAATAAGACCCCATTTTAGGTATTTATTTAAATCCCATCATTGTTAAGGAAATCTTGTGACCTGTGATACTGTGTAATACTTGCATATCTCATAATTGAGGTCTATTGCTCAGTGTTGGTCAAAATTCTTGAAGGACATCCTTTAAACTTTGTTGTTATATTTCAGCTGATTCAACAAGACCAAAAAAAGAGGCAAATCATCTCTTAAACTTCCTTTCTTTTTCTTAATAGTTTATTATTTTACATTAAAAGGGAGAAGCATGGTTTAACTTAAGCTAGGTTCTCATCCTGCAATAAGTGTATAGATTAGATAAAGGAAATGCTCCCTATCCACAGAACAATAGATTACTTGTTTAAATTACTTGTCTTAAAAAGATCCTGATTTGGCTTTGCTGAGCATAAAATATTAAATTTACTGTTTATTTTTAGTGGATTCCTGCCAATTTTCTTCTCCCTGACTGTCTTTAGATTGTTTAAAACATAAAAAACCCCTGTTCTCATCAAACATATATCTACTTACAAGAAATCTCTGTTGATCTTTCCGCAGGGACATAAAGTCTTGTTGTTAGGACATGAACTTGGCTGTTATGGAATTTTCCTTTCTTTTTTACCTTGATGTTTTTCCTATCCTTTTTTTCTTTTTTTTCCCTTTAAGCCCACAAGTGTGGCAAATTATGTTGTGCTAATTCTGCTTATTAAATCTTCATAAACTGAGAAAAAGGAATCCAATGAGAAAGCTTTAATGTCTGTTCAGGTGTAGTAGGTAGTTTCATTCTGTTTAATTTGCAGTAAAGTTTGAAAACTCTGACCTCATCCTTGCAAAAATTTTGTTACTTATATTTTCTGAAAAAATTGTAATAGGCCTGATCAGCTCTATTAGTAGAAAGTATCTGTGTCATTGATATTGCTTTAGACTTGCATCTTTGTAACTTGAACCAAATTTGGCTTTTAGGACTATTTATCAGCAGAAAATACAAGGCGGATATAGACTGTATAGCTGCAAGTGTATTTTCACAAATAAAAGATTAAGAAGTCAGGCATATGTGACAGTTTCTTGGGCACCAGGTCAGTGTAGTGTGTCTGGTGACACATGGAATGTTTATTTGCCTTTTGTTGAAAGGGATATTCAGTGTTATTTTTGCAAATCCCCTCCGTACGGCAGAGCACTCCCAAGCTGGATTGAGTGCTCAGCATGAAATGCTGTTTTTCCTGCAGGAATCTTAGGTGACCCATGCAGGGCCTTTTCTCTCCTCACAGGAGCCCCATCTCCACAGGGAATGGGGAACTGACCCTGAACAACTACAGCAACAGAGCAGTGAGCTCTGAGAGTTCTTCAGCTGTCACAGGTCAAAAGTTGTTATGCAGTGCTAAAGAACAAAGCAGCTTTTTATTGGAGGACATGTAAATGTTATAACTAAGATCTGGACTGATCTTTTGACCCTGAGGTGGTTGCTTAGAAGCTGCATCACTGCCTTTTTACCTTAAAACACTTAAACTTTTTACACTTAAAACACTTTTTCTAAGACTGTCTAAGACCAGGGACTGCACTGACCTCACCTGTGCAGCCTCTATAATTAGTTTTTCTTTTTTAATGAGTTAGGAGGGTTTTGTTGTTGTTATTATTATTATTATTAAAGATTCCTTATTAATGGGTAGTTTGCCAGCTTTCTGGGATGGAGATAAGAAAACATAGTTTTAGAGGTATACTGCAAAAAAAAAATGTTTGCAGAAGAGATCTGAGATTGCAATTGCCTGCAGAGCTGCAGTCAGGAGTAAAGAATGAAAGGTTCTACTTTGAATGCATTTAGTCTCTAGCACAACACAGAATAAGCTAAAACATAAATGCACTATCTCTTAGCTGACTTGTGACAGCTTATAATGAATGAATGGGCTGCAGATTGAAATGTCACACTGACGTGCTTCTGAATAAGAAATGAGTTTCATCAGCTTTATTCAATATATTTCTATCTGTGTCTGAAGTACTGAACAATCCATTTTGCTTGGAAATACATTTGGAAGTGGAAGAAGTTGAAATGTATGCTCTCTATAGAAATTAATAAAATACTTTTCTTTTTTTTCTCTTCATTCCCAAAAATAGTAAGTGGCAGATAGGCTGGGTTCTGACTTTGAACTTGGAAAGATCTAGGAAATAAAAGTGTAGGAAGTCAGCTGGTTATTTGAATGTAATATTTAGAAACTTTATATATAGATTAAGAAAGGAAAAGGTTTTGAGAAAATTGTATCAGTAATATTTATGGAATTTTTGGTCCATTTGTGATTTAAAAAAACTTTATCAACTGCTACTATTTGAATGTAATATTTGGAAACTTTATATATAGATAAGAAAGGAAAAGGGTTTGAGAAAATTATATCAGTAATATTTATGGAATTTTTGGTCCATTTGTGATTTAAAAGTACTTTATCAACTGCTAGATCTTTGGTCAATGAAGAAATCCCTGATTATAGTTCCCTCTGCTGACATTTTTCTATATATGAAATTCCCATTACTTATAGGAAAAGACTGTGGGATCAAGCTTACTAAAGAACATGTTTAATAAATTATTTTTCCTGACCTATCATTCTGTTAATAGTGAAATTTGGTGATAACTTCAATGCTTCAATTACTCAACAACAGTTTATTTTATTGAGGAGCATAGGTGAGATGATTTTGACTATGTTGCATACACATCTGTCTCAGAAGAGGATTTTTATATTTTGCACTGTCTCTTACTGTTTCCCTCCTTGTCTAATTCTGGTTTTTTACCTCTCTCTATGTAAACCCTTCCAGATGTTCGACTGGATCAGCCACAACAAAGAGTTGTTCCTGCAGAGTCACACAGAGATCGGTGTGAGCTACCAGCACGCCCTGGACCTGCAGACACAGCACAACCACTTTGCCATGAATTCCATGGTGAGTTGAGCAGCACAGGAGGGAGGAGAGGGCAGCACAGGAGGCACCTCCAGTGCTCAGGGAACGAGGGACCTGTGAGAGGTGAGGGAAGGAAGGTCAGGCTGGCCGTGGCAGCAGCAGAGTTGCTCTGTCCAGCCAGACACTGATATATGGTAACTTCCTTGACTTAAGAGCAGCACAGTCCTGTGGAGTTTGTTTACATTTTGGAGAGCAAACACAATATTTTATAAGTTTTTGACATTTCTTTGGGAATTAATGAGAACTGTAGGATGCACTTGAGTAATTTATACTTTTTCCTCCACAAAGGGGGGAGGTATACACCTTATATATAAGGTATTTTTCAAAACCTTGAAAAAGAGACACTAGTCAAGCTGTCAGTTGTGGCCACAGTGGGATTTTGCCTTTTTTAGTTGTTAATTGGTCAGAACTTTTGAATCCAACTCAATTTACCTTTCTTTTTCAAAAAAGAAAACCATCATTATATCTTTATAAGTCCTTTGGTCATTTCCAGACAGAAGGTATTTGTCCTGGAAACTGCCCTGCTTTCAGCACAGAAATGAGGACAGGATGTATTGATGTTTTGATCATTGCAGTGAGATAGAAAAATGCATGTATACCCCCATCATTATGCCTTTAAAAGTGCTTTGGTCATTTCCAAACAGAAGGTATTTGTCCTGGAAACTGCCCTGCTTTCAGCACAGAAATGAGGACAGGATGTATTGATGTTTTGATCATTGCAGTGAGATAGAAAAATGCATGTATACCCCCTGCTGCAGCTGTGCAGTGCAGAGATGAGCCCTCTCTGAACACTGTCAAGCACAGCAAAGCTTGCTCTGAGTAAAGCACTCCAGCAGGTGAAACCTCCTCCTGCTGTGCAGGGTCAGGCTGCAGCTGCAAGGGGCTGACACCTCAGAGGTGGCTGAAGTTGGTGGTGTAAGGCACTGGAGAGCATCTGTCTGAAATGGGAAAAAGAGATCCCGACTACCCCAGGAAGTTAAGGACCCCACACTGCTTTCATCAGGTTACAGGCATTAACCCTGGGATTCTGGCCAAATTCCAGGTCAGGTAATTAACTTCTCTGACCTGAATTCCACAGGCCACTTCCACCTAGCTGGCTATTCCCCACTTCAAGCACTGTGCCTCACCAGGGCATTGCATAACAGTGGGAGATGAGAAATGTTTATAATGCCTATTAATGTGTTTATTGTGATTATATCAGAGCAGAGCCCTGAAAACCAGGCTCTAGGCACCTGATAGTTAAACTTGCCCTCACAGTGCCATCTAGCAAAATCTAGGATAACACTGCTTCCATATAACACTGCTGCTCTCAGAGTCCCAATAAGTAAATGTGTCCTGGAGGTGAGTGCATTAAAATTCATTTGACTTATAAAATATGCAAATTTAGTCATAATTCTTCAGAAATACCATTAGAAGAGTCAGGCTTGAGGATCTCCCTTTATCCTTTTTTGTGGTAATAATACCACAAAATATGGTAATGTAAAATAATGTTGTCTAATATTATTTTCTTAAAATAACTGGGAGTTAGGCTTGGAAAGAGATCATTGCTGTTAACAGAAAATGAACGATTTTGGTAGAATTTTAATGTATAATTTAGCTGGATCTTTTCTAAATGTAATACATCAGCAACTGTTGGATTGAGAATAGCTCAGCTGTTTATTACTCAGAAGTATGAGTAATAAAATAATGAAATCTTGAGGCACTTTTTTTGGTTGTGGGCCTTGGGCTTTTCTGTGGTATTGAATTTTGTTTTGTTAATACATTAAAATCAGTATCTAGTGGGGATCTGGAGGAAGACAAAGTAGCTAAAGATGGCTGTATGTTTAGCAGGGAAAAAGCCTACAAACTTCAGGGAAAGCTGGATCAGATTGTGGATCTCTAAGGTGTTTTGTTTTGGTTGTGTTTGTTGTTTGGGGTTTTTTTCTTTACACTGTGCATACTGTCCTTTAAGCCTGGCATAACTAATAATAATTAAAATACAGTCTTCAGTTCCTCTAGGAAATGCATGCCTTTCAAAAGGCATGGGTCATGCCTTTTGTTGCATGATCTTCCTGTACATCTCCATAGGCATGCTGTGACCAAAGCTCCCTTTTGGAAAAACAATTTGCTACTCTGTTTGCTACAATAATTCTTCCTTCTAAATGATCAATGGGATGTGGGAAATCATATATTTGAGGTAATAAACTGTAGTGTGCTATTTTTCTTTCAAGTAAGGAGCATAGATTATTTTTTTTCCTGTGATTCGAGGTGGTGCTTGTTTTCACTTCAGTTTCAAAATAAATTGTTACTCTTTATCACAGCTGTATAATGTTTATACTGAAGCAATAATACTTTTCACAAAGATGAATATTTAACTCAGACCTTTTTCAAGCAATATCAATAATCTAATAAATTCACTAGAAAACAAATCCTGTGTTCCAATATGGCACAAAGCATACTGGGTGTAGCTCTGCACTTGGATACCTGGTGTACAAGCCATTTGTTCTGACTAAAGTTATCTGTATATCCCTTGCCTGGACTTTTTTATGCCTGTATCTGATAACTTCTTTAAATTATGAGTTCCTGCTTTCTGCACACAAAAATGAGAGTATTCAGTGCTGATACTGCTGCCTGTCCTGCTGTCAGGGAATTAGCTGACACCACACAGAGATCCATGTTTTCCTAAATCACAATATATTTCTAACATGTTACAATTATCATGTAAAGGCTATTAATGTCTGTTGAAAATTCCCAATATCTGTCTTCAATGAATGCTATTTTTCTATATGTGGGCTAAGCTAAAATGCCATCCAGTATTACACAGGCTACATGTAATTGATCTTGTTATAGAAACTTAAAGGTCTTAAAGATGTCTCATGAGGGGTTTTTTTTGTCACTGAAACATTCTGCTTTGGATTTATGTGTTAGGCTCATTTCACATATAAAAATTTCACTTTCAATTAATCTGCAGAACTCTTCTCTTGTAACCCACCTTTCCTGTTTGCCATCACATTATCTCACCTAGTCCTCTAGGGAAAGATATGAACACTCCAAATTCCTTGCAGATTTAATGCTTTCCACTGCTTTTTTTTTTTTTTTTTTTTTTTTTTTTTTTTTTTTTTTGGTGAGTGTCACGCATTCTTTTTATAAGTGTGCCACAAGAAAGTGCTGTTGCAGCCAGGCTTGGAGGCTTGGAGGGTTTAATCAAGAGGGAAGGTCTCCCAGCATGCCCACGAGGTGATCGGGGGTCTGTATTTCCCTGAGCGGTCATTGCCCAGCTGCAGCTCCAGCTCTGTCAGTGCTCACTGCTGACACTCAGGGCTCTGATCCGAGCGTGTGCTGGGACCTGGGCGTGCACGGTGCTCGCTGTGCTGGTGGCACAGCTGTGCCACACGCTGGGGACCACAATCAGGGTCTTGGCAGGGCCACAGAAATGGGTTGAGGGCCGATGGACAAAGAGGGGAATGGGAGCTTACGAGGCACCGCTCAAGGCTTTTGTCAATTTGTAAAAGAAACTCTTACCTCTCATGATACCCATGTACATGCAGGGAAATTTTTGTTTTGTTTTCCAATCCAGTGATTTTTAGAAGGTAGAAATCCCCTATTTTGGACTAAAGTTTCAAAGTTGAAATAATGAGTTGTGTCAAAGTCATGGAACATTTTTGCTGTGTTTGAAGAAAAAGTTCCTGAAGAAGTTTCGATTTCCTGTAGAAAATGTTTTTTTCATCCTGATTTTGATGAAATATTGCAAATAAAAAATTAACTCTAACATGAGAAGTGCCTTTGAAAAGCATGCAAGTAAATATGAAATTAGTTTTTTTCAATGCTGAAAGGTATTTATTAGCTAAAATTTCAGTGCATCCTAGTGTCATGACTACAGAATGTCAACTGAAGTGCTTTTACTTCTAGACATTAATGTATTGTTTCCTCATTTTTTGACCTATTGTGCTCTCATATAGCTATGAAAGAGTGATCCCTTGCAGTCCTCTTTGGGGACCCTTCTCAGTTTTGAATGAAATATGAGTTTAGGTTAATTTCAAAGTGAGATTTTCCATGCACTTACTATTGTGGATTTTCCAAGCCTAAAGGAAAAACAAAGTCACAGACATTAGCTGCTCTATTGAATTTATTTCCTATTAAGATTGAAAGATCTATATAATAGTACCATAGAAAAAAAATCTCAATTCACTCAGCTTATAGAAGTGAACACACCAGAGGGAAAGGAAGATTTAACTTTGTGAAATGTCAACAGATAAATTTCCTCAGCATAGATTTTCCATTTTACTTCAGAACATTACACATTGGCAGATAAAGATGAAGAAATAACCTGGCTTACAATGTTTTCTCTTCTTCAAGGTGGAAAAGAAATGTCTTGCATTTTGTGGATTGTGGTCAGTTAAATGTTGGGGTTTTTTCATGAAAGTAAAGCATGGATTGCCTTGAGGCCATACTGCATTTTACTTCAGTCTGCAACAGCAATACAGAGGAGCCCATCACAGGTGATAGTGCACTTGGGCACATTTGTTGCTCAAACGTGAGCAGAAGCTCTGGAGTCTCTGTTTTCTGAGCCTTTTCCACTTGGTGCACAAAGAATGGAGGTGTGAGCTGGTGATTCCCAAACTGCTTCTTGCTTCCTGCTGAAAAAGCTATGGGCTTAGTGGGTTGGTACCCTTCCATGAAAAATTCTCATATAGGAAAGAGACATTTTCATCCTTATCCCTGTACAAAAATACAACAGACATAACAATATGTAAATCTATCTGACTTAAGAACTGGACTCTCAGAACATCTGCTGCAGTTCAGTTAAACTTCCCCTTGCTCCCCTGCTGGTTAGCACATCTGTGCACAGGAGCCATTGGGAACCACAGAATTCACAGTTGTTTCCTCCATGCCCATTGCATTGCAGTGGCCGAGATAAATAAAGAATAAAAATAAATAAACAAAATCAGGATGAAAACAACCGTTTTCTTCAGTAAATCAAAACTTTTTGGGAACTTTTTCTTCAAACACCACAATGTTCCATGATTTTGGCACAACTCATCTAAGTTTTAGCACCTGTGGTGATGCTGCACTACTTTCCACCAAAAGAATTGACCTGAAATGTTGCAAAATTATCTTGGCTGAGGTTTTACTCATGAAGGATTTCTGGGAAAAAAGCTTAAACATTTAGTATGATTTCCAGTGTCTAACCTAGAGGGACACCAAGATATGTTGGACTCTGGCTGCTGGTCAAAATTTCAAATCATAGTGGGTTTTTTTTTAGTAGGCTTTAAGCTCCAGGACAGTTTTGATTGGTTTCTCTAGTTGCAGTGAAAAAAAAAAAAAAAAAAAAAAAGATGGTTATTTCTTAAAAATTAATCTAGCAATTTTGAGCCAAATCAAATTTTTAGGAAAAAACAAGACTGAAGGCTAGGTATTGCTTTAGATCAATGTTATTTATGTGACAGTTGTCACAGTCATGGTTCTACCAGGGAGAATTGAGTGGCTCAAAGGGCTGGGGCCCAATCTTTTTCCCCTTTAGCACCTACAGTTATGATGAATATACTTCATAGTTATCCCACACACTTTGCAGACATACTTTGCCCTGCTTTACAACTTAGTTTGGACCTGTGCCTACCTTGGCAGTGCTCTGTTGCATTTCATGTTTGGATTGGCAGATACCTTTCCACATTTTGCTCCCACTCACTCTGATGAGATCCTGCTCCAACAAACACTTCCATCTCTGATTTATTATTTGCCCATGAGTAATGCTGCTAAAATCATCAGGGCTGTGTCTGTCCTTGTGCCTGAGGGTCTTACAGATTCTACTCCCAGAAATTTCTAAAGCCCTTTGGAAATAGTTTAGAGAGACAAGAAAGCAGCAGTAAGTCATCATTAGCAAAACATCTCAAATTTTGAGATGTTCCTTTCCTCAGGTGAGAAGGAAAGAGAAAGTGCTTACATCAAGTGACTTTCCAGGAATCTGCAGGACAGCTGTCATTTGTCTTGTGATGGTGCATCATTATGGGACACTGTCATGATGGCTATTTATTTTCAGCTTACATTCCTATGCAGAATGAGGGTATTGTAATGCAATTACATTGCTGTCCGAGGTTCAGTTTGAGAAAAAACTATTCTTCCACTTCTTCAAGGCTGAATAAAAACAATAATGGAAAATTCTTATGAAAGAACAGAAAATATTACCCTTTTAGAGGCTTTTGAATCCTTCTAAATGGAGAATAGAGTTGAATAATATCTCTGCTGGAGAACAGCTTAAAATAACCTGCAGAAAAGATAACATTTTAACTGAACACCATAATGTAATAGACATTTCTATGGAAACACTTATATTTCTATAGGATAGCCTTATGAGCTCTTTTAAATTCTGTAAGGCTTTTCCATTTGTTGACACTACATGTCTATAAAGGGTTATCAGTTCTCAAAGGGCATAAAGCAAACCTTTTACTTAAAATATGTGGATATAGCATCCAGAAATATGAATTAATGCAACAAAAATATCAGGAATAATATAGAAGCAATGAGTACACCCTAACAGATGAGTGAATAGCTGAAGTATGGCAAATTAGTTTTACATAAATAAATTCAAGTAGAGAGGGGGAGATAAGAGTGTTAGATAATGGCATAGATGTACAGAAAGAATCCAAAGGGATGTGTTTTGAGAGTGGAAGGTAGTCTGCCTGCTATTCAGGCACGTTGAAGCAGGTGGTTGATTGCTCTCACTGAACTGCCTGGCTTTACTCCAGCTGATGGTTTGGAATGTGTAATGAATGCAGAGGGTGGTCACAGTTCTTCCTTCTCTTTATTTATGTGTGCTTTTTAATTTTCAGAATGCCTATGTCAACATCAATCGAATCATGTCTGTGGCATCACGGCTCTCCGAGGCAGGCCACTATGCTTCCCAGCAAATCAAACAAATATCCAGCCAGCTGGACCAGGAGTGGAAGAGTTTTGCTGCAGCTCTGGATGAGCGCAGCACCATCTTAGCCATGTCTGCTGTCTTCCACCAGAAAGCTGAACAGGTGAGTGGCTCTGGGGAGAGGCAGAATGGTCCCCTGCTACCTCAGTAAAGGTGATGCTGCAGTTATTGCTTGATGGGTTTTGGCTTATGTACAGTGAGGCTGAGAGCTTTGTTCTTGGGGGCTCAGTGTCCCAAAAACAGTAATATTTTCACCCTAAAAACAGCCCATGTCCCCTTGTGGGTAAGACATGTTTTCACTTTAGTAATGAGAAAGGATCTGATCATAACTGAAGTATACTGATGCATTAACAAGCTGGTTTGTTTCTAATATTTCATTAGTGCTATGAATAAATTCAGCATTATTATAGTCAGGAAAACAGTATCTGCCCTCATGTATATGTGCTATGTGTTGAGGAACATTGCACACATGACAAAGGTGTAGACCAGCAGGCAATTTCTAGGAGCCAAGGAATATTATTGTTAATGAATATTATGGAATTCATTCCAACACTTACAATGCTCTCCATAGCTCCAGACTTTGTTAGACATCACTGAGCAGAGATTTCAGAGACAGCTGTGGACATTAAAGAAAAGTTTCCATACCCCTGAACTTGTTTTGTGTCTTTAACAACTACTAGAACGGTTCCATAGTTCATAGCTAGACTAAAGATTTAAAATGTCACTGAATAAACCTTGTGCTTTTTTTGCATCTAAACCAGGTTCACCTAATGATGATGCTTCAACACGGATGATTTGTTGATTACATTAATTTTCCAGTGACAAACACTGCTTTGGGGCTCTCTTCACTGTTGTGTACTTGTTTTTCCAAGTAGTTAATACCAAAGCTACTAAGTGGGTGTACTTGATATTTATAAAATAACCCATACTTGAAGCATCTGGAGAAGAAATTGTAAGAGCTAATGAAACTGTGTCTGTTAAACCAGAAGATATGTGTAGAAAAGGTTATTTTAAAGAGTAAAGATTTTCCCCATTGTTGTTTCTGACTGTAAAATTACAATGGATTTTTCTTTAGTCCCTGCTTCTTATTGACAACAGGCAATAGCATAGAGCAATTACTCACCCTACTGGGCACTTACTCATGTAAGCACACTCAGTGCCTTTGATGGGACTGATATTCTAAGAAGATGCCCATTACAAAACCTTTCATCTCCTTACAATGGGCACTGTAGAGATTAGGTGTAGTCTTCATGTTAATAATTGGTCAATCATCATATATTCATAAAGGAAAATCAAAGAAAGGCTATGTATGCAGTCTGTAGTCACAATTAAAATGTTAGAGTTTATTAATTAATTAGATAGTTCTTGTTTTCTTGGTTATGTTTGGGGTAGTTTTTACTACTTTTTTTCTTTTTTTTTTCCTTCTTTTTTTTTAATGAGTGACTCCCAATTTTTCTGAAGTGTCAGTCTTGTTTGCTGTCTCTGAGCTGCTGAGGTACTGTGCAGCATGAAAGGCAATAAACCAGAAAACTATACTGACCTGCCTGGCACCTCTTCCCAACAAACTGAAGTTTGTACTCTCTGACAGGAGCCAATTTCTCATTATTAACAGACAGGAAAATTTGCTAATTGAGCCAGCAGTTGCTCCTCACTTGCAGTAAGAGAAAATTAAGTGGAATAGCAATGCTGAAGTGAGACCTGTGAACTCAGCTACAAAAAAGAAATGTAGGTGTCACCATGTCCATGAGCCAGGACTAAAATTTCATCCCTGCCTCAGTAACTCTGGCATAAACCAATGCCTTGAGCTAATAATTTGGTCATTTAACCTCTCTATAGTATAACTAGTGAGGTGTTTGAGATTTGGTCTGTAACTAAGTCTGTTGTCTATCAAATATTCATTCCAAATGTGACTTTTTATTAGTTGGCATCAGCCAGGGTTTTTTTTTAAACTCAAATCAGGGCTTCATTATTTTACAATAAATAGGGCTTACTGTCAAATAGAGCTGTATTGTGAAGCAAAGATTCAGATAAACCCACTATTTCCTCTGTTGCAGATCTAATCTATTTTTGCTCCCTTTGTTCTCTCAGTAAGGCTAATCTTGTTGCAGATGCAGCCATTTCTCCCAGAGTGTCAGAGTGTATCCCTGCTACCCTCTCACCGATCTCTGGTGCAGATGAGAGAACAAAGGTTTCTGCTGTTGCAGTTGCAGCCATTTCTCCCAGAGTGTATCCCTGCTACCCTCTCACCGATCTCTGGTGCAGATTGTCATTCTTTCTCCAGTGCTGCAGTCTCTTTGTTCATTCCTTGCTGTTGATTGAAGGTCTCTGTGATGCCAACAGGAAGCCAGTCTTCTAGGACCATAATCTTTCAGCCTCTAGCACACCCCAGCCTGCAAGAGAACTGTTGGCTGGGGACAGAGATTTATGAAATATCGATAATATGCAACCTGAGCAGGAAGAAACTTGTTTTTTCAAGGTCTCTTCCTAAAGACCCCACACAGAAAACTGCACAGAATGCAATTTGTCTGGTTTGGAAGGATGAAAGGCTAAGTCAACTCTGCTGGGAATTGAACCTCACATCTGTCTTCATGTGCCTCAGAATCACAGTGCTTTCCTGGCTTTTATTTCAGATACATGTGGCATGTATGAATGGGACTCAGCTGAATTCATTCCTGGATGCTTTATTTATTTATTTTCCTTTTTTTTCCCCTTTCTTTAGTGTGTGTGCACATACTTGTCCTTCTTAAATTTTTAAGCACAACTAGTACGTACTAAACCATCAACAAGAAAACAGCAAAGAGGAAAAAAATAGAAGAAAAGAAAGCAAACAAGACAAACCTTGCCAACTACTTAGCCTCCAGCTAGGCAGTCTTCAACACAAGTGTCTGATCCAAAGCCAGTAGACTGCAGTCAAAACAACCACTTTGTCCAGGTCAAGGTACCACTCAACAGATTCAGTGGAGGTGTTTCCCAAGTGTCCTGCCATTTCACCTGCTACACATCTCTCAATTCTGTGGTGTTTTTTTCCTTTCCTTTTCTTTTTTTAAATTTTCCTTTCTCATGCAAACATGGAGATATTCTAGAGCAAAAGAGAATCTCCTTCTCTAGGTTTATGTGTGTCTGAAGCTCTTCAAAGTGTCAGGAGGATGTAGGACACCATGTCTTATCTCACTGAGATTTCAAGAGAACTTGCTGATTTACTCCAGATGAGATTCCAGCTCACCAGCCACCAGATGGGGGAAGCACCCACACAGGTGTCCTCCCCATTTTGGATGTAATCTCTGAATAGGCTAAAGTGTACATAAAATGTTCACTCTACAGGTCCTGTCAGAATGAACAAATTAATGTTTTGAATTAGCCAACCAATTAATTCTGGCTCAGAGTCTACCCTCAGAAGCGCATGAGCAGAATTACTGTTCAAGGTAGTAGCTGTCAAGTGCACACAATAGATATTTATGCTGATTCTCAGAAAAGTGACCCTTGACCATTTGTTTCATATTACTTTACTCCTCAACCAGGAAGATTACTGGTCTCATCTCTCAGCTCTGCCTGGATCTCTCTAAGCACATCTTCAACTCCCCTGTATGAGGAAAAGAAAAGAAAAGAAAAGAAAAGAAAAGAAAAGAAAAGAAAAGAAAAGAAAAGAAAAGAAAAGAAAAGAGGAAAGAAAAAAGAGCCATATTATCTTAATATTGATAAGATGCAGGGCTAAGACCAAAATATATAGGGAAATTCCAGAAACAGCATCAGGAAAAATACAAGTAGCTTCATTAAAAAAATTGAAAAATTCAGAATAGCAGGAGGTATTAAGAGTCACTGAGGAAAGTGGCTTCATGGTTGTCCTCCCATCTTTCCCCACAGCCATTCTGGCATGAAAGCACACTAGAATTTTGTTTTAGATTTTCTGGGTCCTGGTGAACCACCCTGGTTATCCTGCAGCTTCCACACAGAGGCAAACAGTGAGCAAGGATTGAGCAAAAAATATAAAGTAATGCAGAGTACAAAATGTCTGAGCTGTGCTTTGGAGCAGCCACCTGGTATAGCAGAGTAGTCCCTGAGGAAAAGTAGTAAGAAGTCTGAGAATCCTTTATTACCTGTTAGAATTTGCATACAGAATTTGCAACTCAGGTTGAGAATTAGGAGTAAGTGTAGGTCATCATTTTAAAGATGCTTTTGGATTGGATCAGAGACGCAAAGGTACTGTAGGCACTTCTTTAATTTTTGAGAGACATTCTTCCTAATCTTTCCTAAATCCTTGTAAAGCATGGACAATTATTTTAGCCTGTCATTTCAAATCATATTTAAAGGGTTTTTATGTTCCCAGTAGGAGATATTCTAGTCAATAAAATAATTATGAATTTAAGCATTTCATTTAAATGGTATTGAGTTCTAGTAGGCAGTAATGACTCCTGTTCCAAACTAACAGTTAGCAATTTACAATTTTAAATGCAAGTTTTTGCAGCTCAGTCAAATGGTGATTTTTGTGTTGTAATAAGAATTTGCTTCTAGAATGAAGGGTTACATTTAAATAATTTTTTTGTCTGCCACAGTGTGTGACAAATAATAAAAATTAACAAATCTGCTATTTTGAAAATTTCCAAATCAATAGCGCTATGGCCTGAACTCACACTTTGCAACACTCCCTAAAAAACCTCTATTTGCTCTTCCTGCATGATTCTGCACACACAGCACAGATCACTCTGCACTGTGTCAGAATATCAAACCCTGACAGGCTGCATCCCTTTAAACTTCTTAAAACAGATGATGTCAACTGCTCTTGCTAGTGGCAGAAGCAAAATTAACAAAGTAATTGTGACATTGTCTATACACAAAAGATAAATGCAAACCAGCAAGGTGGACGTGTGCAGTGGATCTTCCTGAGACTTCTCCCACATACTGTGCAAATCACAGTCTGGAAATGTGACAATAGATGAGTAACATGACTGTAAGAGCTTTTACTGACATGGGTAGAATCAGCAGTTTTGATAAGAACCATAACAGTGTGATTCCAGCTGCAGGAGCACTCGTCTGTGAGGTGTAAAGGTCTTTTGTTCACTGTTTCAACCAAGAGGTTCATGGAACAGCCCCAAAAGGGATTGCTCCCAGCTCTGTGCTCTTAAACTGCATCGGAAATCATGTGAATGCCATTACTTTGGCACAAAATGTGATGACTTCAGCTTTGTGCAAGGATGTTTGGGGATTTCATCTGAACAGATTCAGCAGATCATAAGTCAAACCAGTGCAGGAGAGCCTGCCATCCTTGCCTCTAGCTTTCTAGAAAGCACAGTTGTCACTGGTAGATTTGTACTTTGTAGACATGAACTCTTATAAATTCGTCTTTTGTCCAAATCTTTGTGCATGAAGTGTTTACAGTGCAAGCACTTTAGAGCCTTGATTACACAGCAGCATGGTGAATAGCTTTACACTACCAATAAAAAAGGATGCTGATGCCAGAGACAGAGTTGAATTGGAATTCTTTCGTTTGAACCTCACAGCCCTTCATGCTGTGAGTGAGTGCCTAACTAACAAGCCACAGGTGAGCACTTCAGGAGGTGACAAAGCTGTGATCCTGGGGTGCTTTTGTGGCATTATACATTCGTCCTACAGGGCACTACATCTGTTATATAATTAGCTGTTCTTTTTTATAAATAGCCCAAGGTGTGGCAGGCTGGTTTAACAGAAAGATGGAGGAAGAGAAAGCATTAATGAGAAATAATGAGGTGGCATTAGGCAGCTCATATGGACAAAATATGAACATGTGAGCTGTGTCATTGAACCAAGCCCTGCTTTAAAGAAAAACAGGGTGGGAGTCTTAGAGACTAAATTCCTCTTTTCTTTTACAGAACAGGCAGCACCCAAGAGAGCTTCCTCAGTTTGTTCTGCCAAAGTGCATCAGCACTGCTCTGGAGGCCTTTAGAGTAGAAAATTATTTTTTTTCACCCCTTTGCCCCCCAGAGTGTTCAGTTTCTGGCTGGCTGTTAAGGCTTCCAACCAAGGTGTTAAACCCTATCAATTGCAATGGCAATGCTTTCTTTTTTCTCCCTCTTCATGGACATCTGCCCACCAGGAACTGGACTGAGACCAGCAGCTCATTTTGTGCTGGCTGCTTAGCAGCCATCAGATGGTAATGGTATCTGATCACTGCTGACCTGGGCCAGAAGCATGTGTGACACAGGGGCTTAAACCTTGGCATCCTAATAGTAACCCCACTGAGCTGGACCTGGGATGGGAGCTCCTTGAATGCAGACTGTTTGCCTTTCACTGAAATTAATGTCAGCAGTGATTTTAAATGGGAGTTTTCTGTTCCTCACGTGAGTCGTTTTAAGGACAGGTAAATGAGGGAAGACAGACAGATGAGACAATGCCAAAGGCAGCTGGAGCTGTCACTGTGCCCTTTCTGCTTCACACTGGTGTTTTTTCTCTAAACATGTTACAGCCTCCCTTTTGCAGTGTTGTAGACTCCCTGATGGTGTGCAAAGGCTTTTGGAATGGGGTTTTTTTTCTGAGCCTGCTTAAATAAGCATTTATTTTTAATCCAGAAGAGACAGAAAACATTCCTTTGGATCTAAGCATCCTTCAGGTGCTGAGGAGGTGACAGGAATGTGCCTTTCCAAGGTGCCCAAGAGGACTCCTTTGTAACTTCTGTGTTCTCCTCAGTCATTGCTGCAGTCATGTGTGGCACTCTGCAAAGTTTTCTAATGTTGATGAGGTTGGTTTGTGTCACTGTTGCTCATTGCTCCTGGAATTGTTTCAGTTCCTTTCAGGTGTGGATGCCTGGTGCAAAATGTGCAGTGATGGAGGCCTCCCCTCAGAAATGCAAGACCTGGAGCTGGCCATCCACCATCACCAGACCCTCTATGAGCAAGTGACCCAGGCCTACACAGAGGTATGTGCTTCCCAGAGCAAATGTGGGTATCCTATGAGTGATAACGGATGCATGGCTGCATTTAGGAGCTTAGCTTTTCTAAGTGAGGTAGGATTTCCTTTCCATTCCTGCAATTCTTTCAAAGATAGAGTCAGACCCAATCCCAGGCTGTAGTACATGACTTCCCAGCAATTTGCTTGTAAGGGAAGAACCAAAGGACAAATCATACAGAAATGAAATCTAAAACCAGTGTTGGCACCACAAAGAAGAGGCATTTCACTGTCTCTGCTGAACTGGGAATCCCTTTTTGCCAGTACCCCTTTTGCTTTCCTTCTGTGCATGAGTCCTGGCTCATAGCACAGGTATGCTAATGGCTCAAAGGATGCCAAAGGCTTTCTCCTTCAATGTACAAGTCAAAGAGATGTAAAGTCCTAATTGCAACAAATGCTCAAATGACTTTGCTTTAGATAGAATCTAGAATCATTGAGGCTGGAAACAACCCTTAAAATCCTGAGTCCAACTGCTGAGCTAAAACTATCATCTACCAATAAATCCTATCCCTAAGCACCATCTCAGATGTATTTGTATATATTGTTATAAAATATCTCCGACCTAAATAGGGTATGTGCTTTTTTCCTTTAAAAGAGGATGCCAAGAATGCTGAGACAAATTCTCTGGAATTTTGTCAAAAATAACCCACATGAAGTTCTTTACTTGTTTTTTTCCCCATTCAGGCTACAGCATAAAGTAAAAGCTACTGACAAAAAGTCAGTTCCCCTGTGCTGCACTGGGGTGTGCTGTACTGGAGTGTGCTGTACTGGAGTGTCTCTCTGGCTGTGAAGGGATTTTGGATTTTTGCTCCTTGCAGGGTTTTACAAGCTGGATTGGAGGACTGTGGTAGTGTTTGCTATACTTAGTAAATTACCAAGTGAAGACTCCAAGACAGAATATATATATATATATATATAGATATATGTGTCTTCCACTTGCTCATGCCTTGCTCTGGTCATCATAGAGGAATATATTTTCTCTAAACCACCATTTTTTCCCTAGTGCAAACTGTAGATGTGTCACAGATGGCACCATTAGTCTTGTCACTTCCAAGTCTCCGGAGGTCTTCCCAGCCCACTATAATGGATATTTGCAGATTTTCACTTATTCCCTAGCCATAGCATGATTCCACTAGCACAACAAAATCTATCCTTTGGTTCACCCAAGGTTACATAACTATTTCAGAAGCATTTGCATTCTGCCTATCCTTTCCCTACCACAAAGCCTGGAATATCTGCAGGTGATAGGAGTGTGTGTGTGTTTTGTGTCAGGTGGTGAGCTAAAGTCTCCCAGAGTCCAGCAGCAGTTTGCTTTGACAAATGCAGCACTGGATCTTACACCTTACTGGGATTGCAAGTCATGGGGTGCAGGTCCATTCAGCTTAAGACTTTTGCAATACTTCAAAGTATGTTGTAAATAAGATGTAAGTGAAGTGATGTGACTAACCTGGGTTGTTTTGGTTGTCTCCTTGCACAATCCTTGAAAAATTTAAAAATAATCACATGAAAAGATTTTTGTTGATTTATTTTTGCAGTTATGAGGAGAACATGGTAATGAATGAAAAAACACAGTAGGTGGCTTCTCCAGTTGTGAGGATGTTCCTTTCTGAAATCTGCTCATTGGGGAACTCTGAGAGCACGGATTTTCTGAGCTATTGATTGGGAATGCAATAATAGTCACAATTTGAGAAAACAGACTTTTTAAGCTGAAGAATTTCAGAGCTGCAGATGATATGAAACCCTGGAATATCGATGTTGTCCTTGAGAATACGAAGTACCACGGTTACCTGATGGTCACCATGCTTCTTTTGATTTGTTTAGTCCAGTGTGTTGGGACAAGGGTGTAAATTGGAGCGCAGAAGAGCACTTCTAATAGCCTCTGATTTGTATTAATAATTATTAACAGGACAACGGAATTACTTCAGATCTGGTGTTTTATCTCTGTCTGTCCAGAGAATAACCAGGAGATTATCCCCATTAGGGAAAAATCATAACTTGTAATCTCTGAGGCTTTTTAGACTGGCAACAGAAGCAAATTGCCATGAAACAGATAAAAACCTACATCCCATAGAAGAGAAAAGAGTAACAGACAGTGAAGTGTAGCTCTTAATAGGTCTGCATTACAGCACAAACTTTGTAAGAAAGTTTTCCTGAGTAAAACATGTGTGTTATATTTTCTGTGCAATCTCATCTCTTACTGCTAAACTTTTGAACCTTTATTTTTAATCCCAGTTCTGCTGTGATTGTAGCAGTGTAAATCAGCAGGGACTCTATTAAAAACCATTGGAACACCACCCAGGGAGTGATTCAAACCACCTCTAAGCCCAAATCCCAGTAACAGAAACACAGTGAATTACACAGTGGATTTAGCCAGTGCAAAGAGTGAGTTTCTGGTCTAATAATCTGCACCCACATGTGTCCATGGCCTTGGTTTCCTGTTCCCAGCAATTAAGTAGTTGCTGCTTGTCTTCCCACAGATAAAATAGGATGTAGTATGCCTTATCTTCTTCCTCTGGAAGCTGCTTCTTCCTGACTAGCAGCTAATGCCATCTCCATAATCTTGCCAAGGTAACACCTGTGCCTCAATGTTTCCTCCCGAAATCCTCAATCATATCACCACTATCCACTGCTGTTGTTCCCTCTGTGACCCTAAAAGGCTCCAGCATGTGCAAATTATTCCAGCTGATCTTCAGCAGCAACTGAAATTGAGTATGGGAAGCCACTCCCTTTGTACTCTCCAGTTATTTCCTGGTCTAGTTCCAAATTACCTTGAATACTTAAAAAAAAAACCACAAGAATTTTCCTAAGGCCACCAAGTATGATGAGATTTTACTCCAATTTTTGCCAGTATGCATCTCAAAAGGTCTCTTGGTTTTTCTGAAAAAGCACCAGATACCTGGTGCTACCACAGACCAGAACGTGGCATGGCTTGCCAAAAGTTAGGGCATTAAAAGGACATTTGCTACATTTGACTAAGCAAATTATAATACAGGAATAAATGAGACATGGAAATCCTGGAGATGTGTGCTAGCTTTGACTGATAATATTCAAAATCTGAACTGGATGAAGAAGATTCATTACCCTATTTTCTGTCAGGATCAGTGACTGGGATTGCTTACAAATACACTTTCAGGAAAACTTGTTATTTTCACTGCAGTTTGTTTCAGAGGGTAGGCTGGTAAAAGAAGGATTCTGATAGTGTCCTCATTTACCATTTCAGTTAAACAAAATATTTTAATTTTGTAATCTGGAACTGAAAAGTTATTTCAAGAAGCCATTTTTCGAGAATCAGTGCATGCACACATTTTTTAGCAGAAATCTGGTTTTTATAGTTTAATCTGCCACTTTGCCCCTGCAATATGAAAATGGTCCAGGGATGTTCCAGAAAAAAAATCTGACATTAAAAACCCAGGCATTCTGATTTTTTAAATGCCCAAATGCCTTTGCATCTCTAAATATCTTTTAATATGCTTGAAAAAGGTTACATGTGCGCAAAGGGCTTTGTATTTCCCAGCAAACTTCATAGTCTATTGAAAACTGAGACCATAGGTCCCTCTGAGCTGTTCCTGGGGAAGAAAAGAATCAGTCATATACTAATTTATTTTTCGCTGCCACTGAATGAAATACAGAATGGAATGTCACACTTCTTAATGTATAGACATACTTAGTAATCCTACAAAGAAGGACTCTCCCTTATTATACAGAATATGAATGACTCTGCCATCTGTGGTTTTCTTAAAATGCCACCTCCTCACAAAGATAGGCCTGCTCTTGCAAATGCCACCTGTCACCAAGCAGTGTGTGTCAGGAATTTTCAGTGCCCAAGTGTCACAGTGAAATAAAGCCCTGGGATCTCTGTGTGCAGCCCCAGCAGTGCTGTACCTGTGCTCCTGCTGAGTGACACAGCAGGGCCACTAGGAAGCAAAGGCAAGTGCTGAATGTGTAAGTACAAGTCAAAAAGAGATGTTATTAGCTCTTTCTTCCTTTTTGACTGAAATATGGAAAACACAGCAGAAAAAGAATGAGCTAGGCTGTTCTCTGCCAGCTGTCAGATATGTAAGTACCAGTGCAGTGAAGCAGACCTATTTCTTCATTCAGGTGAGCCAGGATGGAAAAGCTTTGCTGGATGTCCTACAGCGTCCCTTGAGTCCTGGAAATTCTGAATCCCTTACTGCTACTGCAAACTACTCCAAGGCTGTTCACCAGGTGTTGGATGTGGTACATGAAGTCCTGCATCACCAGCGCCGCCTAGAAAGCATCTGGCAACACAGAAAGGTCCGGCTACATCAAAGGCTGCAGCTCTGTGTTTTCCAGCAGGATGTTCAACAGGTAATATCCCTACTAAAGAGATAAAAAAATGACCCTTTATTTACAGCCATTAAGGTTAGTGACTCATCCAGAAGCTGGTGCCATAACCAAGATTTCACACACAGCTCTAGATATCTGCTAAAATCCTAATGCATCTTTCAGCATCTCTCGGTTTCATGTTGGAAATCATCAATCAGTCCATTGAATATTGATCAGTCCATTCCCTGTAAGAATGTGACACTGTTTTCAGTGGTTAATTTGTCACAAGTGAGCAATTAGCTATAGGTACTCTACTGTTCCTGAGAAAGTGATGTTTAATAGAAAAAATAATTTCAAGTGTAAAAAGCAATTGAACTGTGATGTGTTTCACCTTTCAGTGTGGAAAGAATGTAAACTGACAATTTAGTGGTGCTGTTTATATGATCTTTGTACTATTACCACTTATGGAGTACACAAACCCATGCTATGAGTTTGCTGGCTCCAGTGAAGTGCACACCCCAATGCTCAGAGCCCTCCTCACACAAATACAGTTTATACAGCACAGGCTTGTCTCAGAGAACCTCAGCTCCAGGTGGATAACTTTTCTCTCCCAGAGGAATCCATATGAGTGCCAGCACAAGAGTGTGAGTGACAGTAGGTATGAGATGCCATGTTTGTAGCTGCCAACTATGCAGGCACAATCAACAGATGTTGCAGGGCTCTGCTCATTCAGGGTGGTGTGGTTTGTTTAAGGGCCCCATTACAGCCCAAAGCAGATGTTGGGAGCAATATGGTACTTGCTTTAAATGAAGAGGCTGAATGCTCTAATCACGTTTATGGAGCATTCTAATGTCCCTTGGGTTCTTTATGCCACTGCCTTCCTCCAAGTGAAAAATGAGGCAGAGATGGAGTGACAAAGCTGTCACATGCAAAACAGACATGAACCAACAAGGACAGGAGACAGGCAATTGTTATTCAATGTGGTGCTATTAGTGCCATAACTAGAGTGCACCAGCACAGACAGAACTGTAGCTGGAGATGTGCCTTGCAAATATTTGTGACCATTTCTTTGTCAGTCTTCAAAAATTTGCCAGTATTTCTACCTACCTGTGGTTTTCCTCTAAAACCACAAAAATATTCATGAGATATATATAATTAAAACTAGGACTGAATGTAGCAGATGCTTAATTTAAGCAACTTTTCTTTCATTATGTGTCAGCAAACATACTGCATGGTAATGAAATTCATAAGCTATATATTAAACAGAGCATGTATTTGGTATTCAGTCAGAATACTCTCAGCAAATGATATGAAGTTAATACAGTTTTAGGGCTAAAATCTGAAAAATCAAGTGTTTTTTAAATTCTGATGATTTTATAATTTTTCTAATTCTGGTATTTAACATCAATAAGAATCTTAGGTATTCTTCATTCCATAGGGTGATTTACACTTTTGTTCAGTCTTTCCAAACTGAAACTTTCTTACATCTTCTGAATTCAGTAGAGGTGTTTATGAGGTTCATTCATGAAACCCATTCACACTTTTACTTCCTACACATGCAAAGCAATGAAGCTCTGTCACTGGTTTTCAAAAGGAGCAGGTCTTTTTATGTACTGTGACTTTTGGTAAGAGAAAAAGAAACAGGCAGTAAGAGTCTCTGGAGCAAAATCACTTGAGAGAGGATTACTCTGTGTGAGTTCTGTTGGCAGCACTCTTTCCAAATTTTTCTCTTAATGGGTAGTTATTATCTGGGAAGCAACAACTTAATGACAGACATGCTTCCATCCTAGCACACACTGGAGGCATCTCTTTGTCCTACTTAGAAAGTAGAGAGGAAGAGATGAATCATTCTGTTCACTAAACATCTGTACTATTCAAGATAAATGCTTTGTAACTCATAAATGGAATTATCAGCTAAACAGAAATATGAATTGTAGATTCCATGAGGAGGAGGAAGATATCTGAGTATGTTGATGGGGGCTTTTTTTTTAAACTAATCACCTCCTGTATATCTGTCATGCAATTCCTATTATGCTTATTTTGTTCAGTGTTGGCAGATGAAGCTGTCTACCTGTATATTGCCACTGATCATAAGCAACATTTATCTATAATAATTTCTTACCTTGTCAAAATTTAATAACCTTCAACTTAGTTCCCCCTAGTTCAAGTCTAAAATGAAAAGATGTGGGAGAAGAAATCCTGACAAGAGAGTTTTTAGACTTCTCTGTCTTCTAAACACATAATGATACAGCATAGTTTCTCCAAGATGTTCCTCTCACACAGCTCAGAATTCAACAGTTTCTCACAGGTGCAGTTTTCCCTGTCAGGATATCCTGTGGCTCACCCTCTCCAGCTGTTGCCCAGTGCAGTAAAAGTTCTGGTGAAAGATAACCTCTGACTCCTTCACTTGTTCATCCATACCTATCTTGTCATGTCACCTGTTGTGCATCAATCTTGTCTCACACTGGATGTTAATAGGGACAGGTTTTTGTTGTGTTGCATGTCTTAATAAAGACAGTGAGATTATTTTGCATCCTCTCAGTCTGCTATTAACATGAATAGATTTTGGTAAAGACATCTCCAAGACGAGACTCTTATGGACCTTGAGAGACCAGTAAGTGCTTACCTAACTTCTCTGGTTAGTCTTGTCAGAGGGATTGAGTATTTGGGCGTGGAATAATAGGAGATAATAGAGAGATCTTGCAGAACTGATTAATTGGCTGAAGGCTTTGTGTAGGCCAAGTGTGTGCCATTTGAACTGGATTTGAGAGTTAACCTGTGTTCAGCAGGGCTCATTCATATAATTTCCAGTTATCTGCACCATTTGCAAGGCAAGGCTACCTGCTGTATGTACTAATGGCACATCAGGGTGTGTTCTCAGAGGTTCACACTGTCGAGGAAATACTTCTGATTCTAGCTGGGTTTCAGCATGAACTGCTCAAAATCCCTACAGTTACAGCATAACTAAAATACACATGGTGCTGTATAAAAAACAGTGTAAACTCTGCCAAATTACAATGTTAATATAAGAAATGTTATGCTATAAAATATCAGTAGAAATAATCACTACCTCACACATCAGACATTTTACAAGGCTATTTGCTACTACATCGATGTATTAATACAATTACATCCATTTGCACATGTGAACCAAGATAAATAATGGTGTGCTGAGGATGCCGAGTTATGAATATATAGTGTTTTAAAGAAGGAAAGAAAATAAATGGTGTGAAACTGCATTTGCAGCCTTCCCAGGAAATAGAGCACCATTCACACAAAAGCAACAGCAGTTAAGAAAATTTGTGAGCTGCTATGAGGTTCAACACAGGCAGGAACTGACAAGAAACTCTTTTAACACCAAAAGTATTTAGGATCATTATAAAAATGTTGGGTTGCTGAGTGTGTAAAATACTTCATTGCTTCAGTTGTTTTTTAGAAGTTCTCTGGTTTCAGACAGGGAAGAACTGCACTGTTTGATCCCTTTAGAACACAGCTGTGGGAGGAGATGCTGAGATTCTGTCCTGCATGAGAGAGGAAAAATCCCTTTTACTTTCATGCTGTTATTTTGTAGTGGCTGCAGATGCATTGGCCCATTTTTGCTACCTTTTCCCTTTTGCTCCTCTCTGCTCTGAGTCTTCCCCTTCTGCAGTCTATTTACCATCAGATTAACGCCATTTCCATTTCTGTTGAGATTTAAAACTTCTCATGTTTTGTCACATTCCCACTGCTTTGCACTGTTAGGTCCCAATTTATCCTGCCAGCCTCTTCGTGCATCTCTGCACTCTAACATGAACAGAAACACCATGGAACAGCAAGGGTAGCAAAAAGCTTGTAGCATGAAATGTTATCAAACAACCCTAGAAATAGCTGAAGAAAGTTCATAAGGCTGTTCTTCACTCCACTGCCTCCCCATCCCCTTTATTTCCCATGAGCAAGACTTTCATCTGAATTCTCCACTCTATAAACTCATTCAAGTGAAGCACACCTGTTAAAGTAGAAGGAGAAAGGAGACCCATTTGATGCATTATTGAAATTATCTGGGCAAGCCTTGAACTTGGTACTTTAGCACACTTTCATGTCAGAACAGTCACACTGATACTCTCATTCTGCATCCTTCATTGCATCTCAGGGAAAGTCTCGGTCTTTCCATCATTTCCATACCTGCATGCCAGCACAGCCTGGTGCAGGCAGCCTGTTTCTCCACAGACTCATGATTCTCTGAATAACACTGCTGGTGCTACTTTCTTCTTGCTTCACTTTGGTTGGGATGGCTGCCTGTGGAAGAGTGGAAGAATAGGTGCATGTACAGGTACTGTGTGTGCTGGTGCTTTCTTGGCTGTGAACAGTGTTGAGTTAGCTGTGGTGGCTCTGCATGGCAAAATGGAGCAGATGAAGACCTTATGGCAGATGAAGACCAGTGGTGAACAGCAAGATAACACTGACAAACATTTACTGGTGAGAGGGTAGGCAGTGCTAAGAAAGCTGGAACAGCCTTTCCAGCTGCAGTCTGGATTTGATGTCTCAAATCCTCTTGGTTACTGAGAAGGTCAAGCTATACTAGTGTCAGGTTCATCTGATTTCTCTAAATTTGGGATTTGCCTTCTGTTGGCTTCATGCCCAGATACATTAAGGGACATAGTTTTGGTTTCCTTACGTGGTTATCTGCCTTCTGGTGATGGATAAAAAGGCCATGTGGCCATTCTGATATCATTACATTTACCAGCTGCCATTGCTGTGGGAGACTGCAGAATATTGAAGAGGAAAAGCTGTCTCTCTTCACAACCAAGCACTTTAACTTGTAATGTGTCTGGCTTTTACTGGCAGAGAAAACAGATCAGGACATAATCCTGACATCATTTGTATGGAAAAATGTCCTGCCAACATCTGCCTGTCTCCATACACTATCTGAGAATGCTGAGCACTCCATGTGATACATGTGATCTATGTGGTCCATTTGCAGAAGAATGCTTGGATATTTGAGGCAGTTTATGTTTCATTTAGCTCTCACACAAGACTTTAGAGGATTAGGTCTGTATATTATT